TTATTTTAGAAAAAACACTGAGGCAATTATGAAGGAATTCAGAAAAAAAGTCAAGTTTTTGGACAATTTTTTCTTAGTCTGTTTACAGTGTCCACTTGTTTCACTTTGGTTAACTCAAGGAAATAACCTCAAGAATAGTTGGAATTGATATATAATGCTTTCACTTTCCTTGTTCCTCATGAAGCAAAGCCAAGTGTTTATGGTGAAGGGGACCCATTAAAATGTCAACATGTATTTAATTCTTCTAAACTTGTATAGACCTGACTTAGATAAAGGGAGAAGAGAGAAGAGTAGGGCTTTAACAGAAATCTACATTACTGAAGCAATAGTGTTTCTCCCAAGATATTCAGGTTAGGACACTGAATACATCTAGAAGGAAAGTGAAAACATCACACAGGTATATTGTTGTTGTTGTTAGGTGCTGTGAAGTCGGTTCCGACTCATAGTGACCCCATGTACAACAGAATGAAACACTGCCCGGTCCTGTGCGATCCTAACAGTCATTGTTATGCTTGAGCCCATTGTTGCAACCACTGTGCCAATCCATCTCATTGAGGGTCTTCCTCTTTTTGCTGACCCTCTACTTTATCAAGCATGATGTCCTTCTCCAGGGATCGGTCTCTCCTGATAACGTGTCAAAAGTATGTGAGACGAAGTCTCGCCATGCTCGCTTCTAAGGAGCGTTCTGGCTGTACTTCTTCCAAGATGGATTTGTTCGTTCTTCTGGCAGTCCATGGTATATTCAATATTCTTTGTCAACACAACCAATAAAAAGTGTCAATTCTTCTTCGTTCTTCCTTATTCATTGTCCAGCTTTCGCGTGCATATGAGGTGATTGAAAATATCATGGCTTGGGTCAGGTGCACCTTAATCCTCCGAATGATGTCTTTGCTTTTTAACACTTGAAAGAGGTCTTTTGCAGCAGATTTGCCCAATGCAACATGTTGTTTGATTTCTTGACTATGGCCTCCATGGATGTTGATTGTGGATCTGAGTAAAATAAAATCCTTGACAACTTCTGTCTTTTCTCCGTTTCTCATGATGTTGCTTATTGGCCCAGTTGTAAGGATTTTTGTTTTCTTTATGTTGAGGTGCAATCCATACTGAAGGCTGTATGTAGTCTTGATTTTCATCAGGAAGTGCTTCAAGTCCTCTTCATTTTCAGCAAGCAAGCTTGTGTCATCTGCATGTCACAGGTTGTTAATGAGTCTTCCTCCGTGTTCTTCATATAGTCCAGCTTCTCAGATTATTTGCACAGCATAAGATTGAATAAGTATGGTGAAAGGATACAGCCCTGATGCACACCTTTCCTGACTTTAAACCACACAGTATTCCCTTGTTCTGTTCGAACGACTGCCTCTTGGTCTATGTACAGGTTCCACATGAGTACAATTAAGTGTTCTGGAACTCCCATTCTTCGAAATGTTATCCAAAATTTGTTATAATCCACAAATTCGAATGCCTTTGCATAGTCATTAAAACACAGTAAACATCTTTCTGGTATTCTCTGCTTTCAGCCAGGATCCATCTGACAACAGCAATGATATCCCTGGCTCCACGTCCTCTTCTGAATCCAGCTTGAACTTCTGGCAGTTCCTGTTGATGTACTGCTGCAACTGTTTTTGAATGATCAGAACAGATATATTGTTTAACAGATATATAATGATGAACAGATATATTACACTTTACAAATCTCTGGACATTTGAAAACATCTAAGTGATTACCTGTTCTTTCATGTCCTCATTAATGCTGTTCACCAAATATTTCTGGGGCATACGGTAGATTACATCTTACTCTCCCTTTTACATTAAGAATGGCCATGTGACTGCTTTGGCAAATGAAGCTTGAGAAGAAGCTATATATGTCACACCTGGGAGAAAACTTTAAGAGCTAGTGTATAATTTTCTGGAAACTGCCTTCCCTTGGCATGACAACCAGCTGCAGATGTGGAGTTTCCATCGGTCTTGTTCTTGGAGTGAAGAGATGTAGCATAGTCTCTCTCTGCTTCCCCAATCCCTTAACCCACATGGATATGTAGCATGAATGAGGAGTAAACTTTTGTTGTTTTAAGACATCGATATTTGGAAGTTATGTTGTTACTGCAGCATAATCTACCATATTCTGAGAGAAACAACATATTCTGGGGTACTTTTCTTTTGTATGTTGGATGTTTATGAATTATTGTAAGAATCCACATCTTAATATGTATCATTATTTTTTAGATATCTTTGCCTAACTTTCTGATCATTTTGTTTCTGATAGCTAACCTTACCTCAGATATTTAGAAATGAAAAGTTAAAAAGCTTACAAGAGTGTTTATTGATTTTAATATGGATTTGTTATATTTTTGTGCACATATTGATCTTGTACTGCATTAGATTTATGTGTTATATCAATTGGTAATGCATTGTCCCATCTTCTACATGCTATTACTTTACAGACTCTGGTGGCACAGTGTTTAAGAGCTACAGCTGCTAACCAAAAAGTCAGCAGTTTGAATCCACCAACCACTACCTGGAAACCCTATGGGGCATTTCTGCTGTGTCCTATAGGGTCACTATGAGTCAGAATCAACTCAGCAGCAACAGTTTTTTTTTTTTAAATAGAAAATGCAACATATAATCCAATCTTTATCTACTCTCGTGATAGAAACAGTAATACATGTTCAGTGGAACTCAGTGAAATTTTGCTGAGAAGATAATGGAGATGATGATGGTGATGATGATGACAGTGGTGATGATGATGATATAAGAGATTCCAAGAGGAGACAGTACTCCAAAAACATGCATGTTGGAAGTGACTACAAAGAAATTCAATTTATTCAAGGAATTTACTACCTATATTTTCTGATATCTGAAAATCAGAAGTCAATTTCAAAGTACATAGCTAACAGCATTCTAGATTTTTAAATTGTGTAAAAAGTATGAAAGGATAAAATGAATAGGAAGAAAAACAGAAGGCATTGTGTTATTAGGGGAAAAATAGTAAATGACCACACTACACGTTTATTATTTGTTGGGTATCCTCTCCAGCAAGAATTCTTTTGGGGAAGTATATTTTAGTTTTTGGAATGAAACCTTGGCAAACCCCCATTGCATTGCCTTTCTGTTCTTAAGGTATGATTTTATTTCCATTTTTGGGGGGAGGGGTGTCAGAAAATAGATCTTGAAGGGAAAATTTTGAACTCTATGACAGGTCTGTAGGTATTTGAATCATTTTTGATGCATAATTCCAAGAGTCTGATATGGCGTTCATAGTCTCATGAGCTTCTTAAGTGTTCTTATAATATTCCTTAAATTAGTGCTCGATGAATTTAGTACAGTAATCCTTTTAGACCTATAGTGTTATAACACAGTCACATGAAACTTGATTATTGCTATTAAATCTTAACTAATAGAATATCATACAATTCTCGGTATATTTATGATAGTAGCAGCTCCAATTATTTGGAGGCATTTTTTCCTACATAGACCTACCTGGCACACAGATGTATATGATGCTCATAAAACAAGCACATTGGAAAATAAGCAAATGATTTGCCTGACTGTTATTTTAATCATGGTTAACATGGTTGATTCATTAATTTATCCATTCTTTCATTTGATAAATGTGTGTTAATAACTACATTTAAGACAGGAGCCCTGGTGGTGCAATGGTTAAGCACTCGGCTGCTAACTGAAAGGTTGGTGGTTCGAGCCCACCAGCAGCTCTGCCGGAGAAAAGACCTGGAAATTCACTCCCTTAAAGATTACAGCCTAGGAAACCCTATGGGGCAGTTCTACTCTGTCCTATAGGGTCACTATGAGTAGAAATTGACTCGATGGCACACAAAAACAACAATGTATTTAAGACACAATACCAAGTACTGTGAATACAGAGATGAAAAAGGCATGCCCCACCCTTAAGGGGTTCACATCATAGCTGGGTAAACAGACACATAAGCCTACATTTATTACAGCCTGTGATGAGTGCTGCAGTGGAGATTTGAGCAAAGTACTGTTGGAACAGATTAGAAGAAAGGATTAGTTCATCCTGAGGAAGGACCAGGGAGGGCTTCACAGTAAAGATGGCATTTAAATCAGACATTTAATACAACATTTCAGCACTTAGAACTAATTAATATTATTAGAACTATTGAAGAGTTTATCCCTATGTCTATAGTGGATAATTAAAGAAATTTCCTCTGAAAATAAGTTCTGCTTCAACTTTTATGCCATGTTCCATGCTTTGGAAATTTGTGGGTTTTAACCTGGGGTATACATTTAAAATATTTACCAACTGCAATGGCCAGTCATAATGGATGCTGACCATGGAATTAGAACAGGGTCTGGAAAGACTCCTGAGTGCTAACTTTGAAAAAGTGTTAACTTTAATTGTAGGACTATGGGTGAATCTCTGCACCTCAGTTTCTCATTTTTCAAAGCAACCAGATCAGTTCCTACTAAGTAGGATATATGTGACGACTAAATAAGATAATGCATGTAAAGTGCTTGACATAATTAATGATACAGATTAAGAATTCAATAAATGCTAGCTATTACAATTATTAAGGGTAAGAGTAGACCTGACAACAAAATTGCAGATATATTAAAGAGTGTGGAGCAATTAGGAAGGTAGAAAACTTGGGGAAAAAATACTTCCCATAAAAGATCTACCTGAATGTTTGAAAGAGATGAGAAGGTGGCGTGGTAAAATGTCATTATTTGGAAATTGTCCCATCAAAATACCGATGATTCTATTTTCCTGAGGGATAATTATTTTCCTAACTTCAGTGAACTTCTAGGATGATAATGTTGATGAACAGCCCTGGAGTGATATGTCAGAATTTGACTGTGACTGTTTGCAAACTCTGCTATGATTGCACTCAGTTGTGTAATTGCTTAATTTATTGATGCTTTGCTGACATGTTTTTCAGCAACATTTGTGATTGCTGATAACGAATCATTTCTATTCTGGCTCGTTATCATATGTTTGCATTTGATTTGTCTGATTGCTGCAGGTGGAAACAATAGGTGATGCGTACTGTGTTGCAGCAGGACTCCACAGAAAAAGCCTCTGCCATGCGAAACCCATTGCTCTGATGGCTTTGAAGATGATGGAACTTTCAGAAGAAGTGCTGACACCTGATGGAAGACCAATTCAGGTAACTCTCGGCAGTCTGGCTTGAGGAGTAAATGCACCTTTAACTGACAGAACCAAAAACCAAACCCATTGCCGTCAAGTCAATTCCCGCTCATAAGGACCCTATAGGACAGAGTAGAACTGCCCCATAGGGTTTCCAAGGAGTGGCTGGTGGATTCAAACTGCCAACCTTTTGCTTAGCAGCTGAGCTCTTAACCACTGTGCCACCAGGGCTCCCCTTTAATTGAAGGGGCAAGAAATTCCCTTCTGAATTCTACTTACTGGAACCTGTAGATTTAGATTGAGTACTGAAGGAGGACTAGAGATGACAAGAGGTAACTCATAGATCCAAGAGAAGAACATATGGAATATGGACCAAAGTAGGAAAAGGTGTGCTAAAGGAAAATAACTATGGATAGAAAAAAGCAAAGCTAAAATATTAGAACAAGGGAAGGGAAAACTTGGTGCCAGTGAACAAGTCATCAAATCCAAGCAGGGATGATGGTTAGGATCAGTCTGAGAGAGAATCCAAAACAAAGAAGCAAGAAAATGGAAGACGTGGACAACGTCCTGTAGGTAGTATATAGGATTCCTTATTAAGCTTCAGGCCTCAGGGTTGACTTAGCATGGTTTTTATGTAGCAGAGCTTGAAGGTTGGAGCCCAACAACTAAAGAAACTTTTTTAAAAGGTGGAAAATGTAGTAGCTTCTGGTGTTTGGACTCTTTGCTACTGACAGTGCTCTACGATCTGGGGTCTACCTGTGGGAAATAGATGAGGTTACCTAGCTGTATTTCTGCCAGAGCCCTATGGTGGAGCCCAGAAGGTTGTTACTATGAATCCTTGTAAACAAAAATCTTATATTTGGAGAAGTAACCTTAAATTTAAGACAGAGGGCAATAAATCCAGCAAAAAACAAAAAATGAGTCTAGGATCACATAAGGATGGGTATAGGCACATACATATACAAGTAGGTACAGACACATACGTGAGAACAGATAGAAATATGTTTATGTATGTGTAAATACAGATATGTGTATGAAGGCACATATATTCATTAAAGACACTACTACAGATACTCCTAAGACATAACCAAATACCCTCTGAGATCGGTTTTCTGGGTTTAAAAGCTTAGAATCATAGTCTCATGGGACAACTCAGTCGGTTGGCATAATATAGCTCACAAACTTCATGTTTCACATTCTACTGAATTGAGTAGCATCCGGGGTCTTAAAAGCTTGTGAACGGTCATCTAAGATACAACTATTGGTCTCTACTTGTCAGGAGCAAAAGAGTAAGAAGGCAACAAAAATCAGAGAAGAAACAAGTCTACAAGGCTGATAGCCTACATGAGCCATGACCTCAACTACCCTGAGACCAGAAGAGCTAGATGTTGCCTGGCTATCACCACTGACCAATCTGACCAGGATAACAGTAGATGATCCTGGATAGAATGGGAGAAAAATGCAGAATAAAACTCAAGTTCTTAAAAATAGCCAGATTAACTGAACCACTGAAACTAGAGGACTCCCTGTGACTATCACCCTGAGACGCACTTCAAACTTTGAGCCAAAACTACCCTATGAGACCACTTTTTAACAGAAAAGCAGAATGAGACACAAAATAAAGGATATTACCCATTAGACTGGTGCTTTACTTAAAAAAAAAAAAAAAAATCTATATGAGTCCAAAAGGTCCACATTTAATCCAAAACAAAGTTGAGAAGATAAGGGGGCTGGAAATCTAGAGAACTACAAATGGAACAACCAGAACACAGTTAATGAGAATGTTGACACAATGTGAAAAATATAAGTAATGTCATTGATCAATTTGTGTGGGAATTGTCAAAAGGGAACCTAACTTGCTGTGTAAACTTTCACCAAAAACACAATGAAATATTATTAAAAATAATAATAATAAGATAGCCCTTTCGAAACAGTTCAACAAGTATGAGTTAAAAAATAGAGGAAAAAAATACTTCACTTTGTGAATACATTTTTAGTTTCGGCCCTGTGGCAAATTAGATACTCTTCTGTTTGAAACTATTAAAATTCTATATTAAATATTTTTTTAAATATTAAGAACTCACTTAAATAATAGGAAATTGAGAAATATACCAGTCATACTATGTGTGTGGACTGCAAAAAAGTTAAATGGTAAATTTAACTTAAGTTTTCTTTCATTAGCAGTGGTAATAGGAGACTAGGAAATACTATTCCTCCTGGAAGAAGTCATCTTCAAAGAATTTCCAGAGATAAAGTACTCTGGAAAATGAACAGCTAATAGTAAAAACAAAACAAAATGTTCATCAATTTTAACAAATGTATCAGTTGGAATTGACTTAATGGCAATGGGTTTTGGTTTTTATTACCGAAATGCAAGATATTAATAATAAGAGAGACAGTGTGCACACGGAAGGAGGTATATGAGAACTCTGTAATTTCAACACAGTTTCTCTGTAAATCTAAAAAATGAAGTCTGTTAACACACACACACACACACACAGGAAAAGACAATAATATGCATACGAACCAGTAGAAACAATAGATGAGAATAACAAATCTGTAGTGTTCTTATATATCAAAAACACCAGACACAGAACCAGAATGCCAAAGTTTAATATAATTAAAGAAATAAAAGAGAAGCTTGAAAATTGTGAGGGAGCAAGTAGATTTGAAAAAAGATTCAGGAAAATTACAAAATCATGTAACATAATACATAAAAGAGAGCTCAGTGGATGAGTTTAAAACCAGATTAGACACAACTGAAGCAAGAATTAGTAAACTAAAAGTTAGAAATGCAGAAATTATCCATAGTTAAGTCCAGAGAATTTAAGTTGGGAAAATATAAAAGACAGCATGCAAAATATGTAAGAAACATGGAGGAGAGAGTAGAAAGATGTACTGTATATTTGATTGGCATTCTAAATGGAGATAATAGAGGGAATGCAAAAAAGGAAAAAAAAAAATTTTCTGTAACTACTAAAAGACATCCGTTAGTTCTCAAAGACAGTAATCCTAAACAATCCTACAAAATATAAACTATAGGAATCCAAAACTAAAGACTTCATAAGACTGCAGTATATCAGAGGGAAAAAGAAAAAAAACACAAAGACTTGCTTAATGACAAAGGCAACATTGATGAGTAAAGAAAAGATAGGCTGTCAATAAATTATTTGGGTACAATTGTTTATCCATGTGAAAACAAATTGAAATTGGATCTCTAATTATGCCCTGCGCATAAATCAATTCCATCTGGGATAAATGTGAAAGGTTATACTATAAAACTGTAAATTTATTATTAGAAAATCTTAAAGTAGGGAAGAATTTCTTGTAAAGGAGTCATGTCAAAAATTGGAAAATATGTATAAATTTTATCACATTAAAATTAAAACCATCTTGTTCATCAAAGAACACTTAAAGTGAAAAGATAGCCTCAAACTTGGAGAATATATTTGTAACACATATAACCAACAAAAGATAAATATCTTTGGTAGATTAATGAGTTATTGTGAATATATGTGTATATATCTCCTATGAATTACTGAGAAAATGAAAGACAATTCAGTTGAAAAAATGAGCAAAAGATAGGATCAAGCATTTCAAAGCAGGAAAACGTAAAAGGCCTGCAGACATATGAAAAGGTACTTAACACCATCAGTAATAAGATCAATATAAAGTAATAACACTGTGATATTGCGTTCATGCCCACTAGTTTGGCTCAACTTTGAACATTTGACAGTACCCACTGTTGGAGAGGATCTGGAGCAGCAGGAAATCTCACATATAGCTGGTGGAAGTCTAAATTGGTACAATTTACTTAACATTAACTGGTAAAGTTTAACTTGTGTATATCCTACAACCCAGCAATTCTTCCTCAAGGTGTTTGCCCTAGGGAAGATTATTCACAAGATTATTCACAGCAGTACTCTTAGTAATAACTGCAAGTTGGAGATAACTCAAATACCCATCAACAGAATGGATGAATTGTGATATATGCATAACCTGACATACCATACAACAGGGAAAATGAATGAATTCAGCTACTGACATCTAGAAGGATGAATCTCAAAAACATAATATTGAGCAAAAGAAGCAAGCCACAGAATAATTGTATAGTTTTATTTCATTTAATTAAGTTCGAAAACTGGAAAAATAAAAAATATATATATGCTTTTTAGAAATATATGCATTACTAGAAAAACTGTAAAGGAAGAAAAGAGAATGATTAACACAAATTTCAAGAGAGTGCTTACCTCCGAGGGAAATAAAGAAGCTGATGGGAAGGGGGAGGATGTTTTAGGAAAAGTGCACATAGGGGCCAGAGTCCAAAGTTCTTCATTTTATTACTATTCTTTAATATATGCACGTATATGCTTATATTGGACAATTTTTAAAAAATGAAAGATAAAGAGTTTTCTAATCATCATGTCAGTGGTGAAAATAGGGAAGTATAGGACCTTTTAAAAATCTTGTTTATGTCCCTTCAGGGTATGATTAGTTTGGTAATAGTTATTCAAGTATATGACTGACACTTCCACCACAGCCAGGAGAAACTAATTAACTAATTAGAAAAACGCTGTCTCAGATCTGCTGTGAACTGCAAATATACACATTCTACATTGAATTCATATCAGTTCTTACATTTTCAAGCCTACTAGTTGGGTGGCTTCATCATTTGGTGTTGTCTTCTATGTTGGTTTTCCTTTTATAAGGGATATAATCTTTGTATTGATTTCAGCATTGTCAAAGCAAACTTCAATTACCAGAGAACAAAACCAGAGAATTGTGTTTTACAGTGTGTTCATCAATATTTTTCATTTGTGGAATATAACATTAACTCTATCTTATGAATAAGACAGTCTTATTAAATCAGAAAAGGAAATTCCATAAAGATTTAATAACATTACAGAAAGAGAATTCAAAATAATAAAACCAGCTTATAATTTTAGCTTCATTACTAATTTATATTATTTGCGTGGTTATGGAGTTTTTTTCTCAGCATATTAACTTGATTTTGAATTG